ATACTTACGCAGCAAATCTCTCGTTATGTCGAGAGTTTTCAAAGGTTTATTTTTGGGCCGAAAAAAGACAACCCATGGTCCTTTCGAAGACGGTTCATAGTATCTGGTTCGCGTAACGTAGGCATCGGAAGATGCCATAAGTGTTGCGCAAAAGCGGTGCGCAACCACTTAAGAAGGAAAAAAAATAAAACCTTCACTAATTAATTAATTTTAATTACCAGTAATTAAATTTTTTGCCCGACGTACGAACAAATCAAAAAGAAAAAAAAAATCGAAACAAAAAAAAAACTTATATCTACTTGCAAAAAGTTGTCTCACTATGACCCATACTCCCCTACCAGGGGTGAGAGACAGAGTCACGCGCCACGAGGCAAAATTAAACTACAATAGGGAGGCAATGGACTTGCAAAATGTATTGTCTAATACTTATGCCGGTTGTAAACAACCTATCAGCCGTTGCAGCTAGATGGTCCGTTTGCTGCTGCTGGTGGTGATGATTGGTGTTGGTGGGTCGGCACGATGATGATAAAATGACTTGACGACCGGATGGATTACCGGGGTGGATTAAAGCTGGATGGCAACTCCAAGGGGCTCGGCCCATGGAATTCCACTTCCTCTGTTGCACACTGGTCACTTGGGGCACCCAATGGGGGGGTGAAAAAACCGCTCGGGCGGAAAAACACCGAAAAAAATTAGATGCCGCGCGACTGAGACCGGGACGTTGTTAACCGACTGAGTGTTCAACTAGGAATGATTGGAACCTTTCTGCCTCTTTGTAGAAAACTGCCTCCTCATCTCCCCTCTCTCTTCCTCCTCTTCCTCTCTCTCTTTTAATCATCCCTTCTCCTTTTTTCAATGATCCGCGGTGCCAACCTTGGAGACATAAATATAACTGACGTTACGGATAGGATGTAAGCCGTTGTCGAGGGGTTAGTGGATTTTTAGCTTGGTAATTTTAATGCGGACTTTGCCGTCTTTTATTTTTATTTACATTTTTTTTTTTTTTTTTTTTATTTATATAGTTGTTTATCTGCATGCATAGATTTACAAACTTTTATTTAAGGGCTGGGTAACTAATTATATGGGTTATATATTTATGTTAGGTTTAGTTTACAAATAATATGTGCCAATGTACTAGATTTATGAATTTGAAATATGTCCTTTATTTACTAACTTTACATACAAATCTAACCTAATAATCCAAAACAAAAGAACTCACCCTAACCTTAACTATCCTCCTTGAACATCCTGCCTTGAGCCGGACCATTTTCACAAGTTGTTGGTAACACCCCCAAGGCCTACCCGAGCAAAGTTAGAGATCAAATTGAAATCAGAATTTGCTGTTATGATGTAACTTACTTTGAATACTCCATTTGATCTCATTTTGGTTGACTTAACGGTTAACACATCAAAAATGAGAGCAAAATTTTACACTGTTGAATCAAACGGAAAACTAATCCTGCTTTCAATGAAATCAATTTGATTACTGATTTTGCATTCATAATGTTTGACTGAATACGGGCCTGGTGTAAATGGTTAGCATCCAAGCTTCTCACGCTGAAAGACTTGAGCTCAAATGTAACCTCGGGTTGGTTGCGAATGACCTAAAATGTGTTAAACAAAACAATTAAACAATAATCGTTAGTTCAACGACAGATAAGCTTAACTTAAATCTTAAACAAGACGTTAACAGCAGAACTTCAAGTTAAGTTGCTTTCATTTAAAATGTCTTGACTGCATAATGAAAGCACAATATGATATCAGACTAATGTCGTGACAATTGAAATCAAAATGAGTATTCATTATGATAGGAACTGCAATCTTTAATATCGATTTGCTTTCATTTTGTTAACCGACTTTGCTCGGGTACCACAACACTAACTCCACGACAAGAGCTTCAACGTCTTCAACCCCCAAAACCCACCACACACTAAGATTTTTTTACAGTATACTGTAATTTTTTACCGAATATGGAACAGCTGAACATTCGGTAATCGATTCGGTATTTTTTTTTTTTTACAATTCGTTCACTCTTGAGCTGTCAAAAATTACTGACCTGGACTGTAAATAATACTGAATGATTGGTAAAGCTTACAATAACGTTCAGTAATGTTTTTACCGAAATATCTGCAAATTATTTTCCTTTGTGGTTATATAAGTTACAATTTAACCAGCAATAATTACCGAACGTTTTGTTCCATCGATATGTCTTATTGTGTTTTCATCAAATTAAATGATTACAACACAGCAAACGTTTTATTTAACACCAAAAAATCAATTAATTTAAATATTTGCGACGCCTATAGGGTTCTCCAGGTCCAGGTCCAGCAAGGGCAACGTGCGCACACATGACATTGGCTTTTTGCAGCTGAGGGAAACATTAGGTCGTCTTAAGTCCAAGATGACTGGCAGCGATGGCCTAGAATTGAATTGAAAGTAAAATAATTATCCACTCCGTCGATTCAGCGGACTAAAGAAAAATATTAAAGTACTTACTTTTCACACAGTAGAACCAAAGAATACTCAAACTCGAAATAGCGGCAAAGAATGTTTTTGACAGTATGACATTTACAAATCTGTTCCGTAATTTTTTACAAGAATCTGGTACTTTACTACCGTTTTTTTTTTGTAAAAGACTATTTTTACAGTACGTTCGCCGCAGTATTGTAGAATTGCAGTAATTTACAGTTTGGATCAGTAATTTTTGTTTACAGTTTTCGGTAATTTCGGAAAGTACGGAAATTCAGTATTATTTATTGCTGAAAGTTGGTATAACAATATATTTTACAAAGCTTTCGGTAAAAATTATATTTTACAGAACGAATTCAGCAAAAAAAAGTACCGAATGGAATTTAAGAAATTTGGTGTGCACAGCTCCGCAGCAAACTCTACCACGTCCTCCAAAGCCTCTGCTTCCCAATATCAGAGCCACTCTGGTATAAATGGATTACTATGTTACTACCGAAATCTTGGTGGCATGAACACTACTCTTGCTGACTATTCGCTTGCGTGCTCGGATGAGGCATACGACATATATGCTTTTACGGAAACCTGGCTCAACTGCAACACACGTGTATATACTGTTTTCCGTTCTGATCGCACAAACCTGACAAGTACTAAAAAATCTGGTGGATGTGTGCTTTTGGCTGTTCGTTCCAACTACAAATGTCGGCTATTGCAACCACCCAACTGCACTTCTGTCGAACAGGTATGGGTGGAACTTTTCGTCCCTGGCTTCACATTATTCATCTGTGTCATTTACGTACCTCCTGACCGTGTCACCGATGCAACTTTGATGTCTAAACATTGTGAATCATTGGCTTGGATTACCTCACGCATGTCTTTGGCAGACAAGATCCTCATCCTGGGTGATTTTCACATGCGTTCTGTGAACTGGATTCAAAGTTCATAGGATTGCATCCCGACCTTGCGCACTCATCGATGAACCTAGTTCAAAATCAACTCCTGGATGATTATAGTACAGCGGGACTCATCCAGCTCAACTCTGTCTGTAACTCCAACCATCGCTTGCTTGATCTCTGTTTCGTTAGCCAAGATCTCAATCACGATACTACTGTTTCTGAAGCTCCAATCCCTCTTGTTAAGGAATGCCGCCATCATCCGCCTCTTCAATTGTTCATTAAGGAATGTGTTCCTTATGAATTCATCCCTGTCACCGAAGCCACTCGTTATACATTATGAAAAACTGGCTTCTCGAAAGGAAAGGAAATAGGACTACCTTCAACCATGAAGCTCGGCCATAAAGAAGCTTCTTCTCTTCCGGCCATAACTGACTTTTTCAAAGAACAATTTTCAGCAGTATTTACTGACGAATCATTTGACCTACATCTGGTGACTGATGCCGCAGCTAATGTACCTCCCCGCTCTGCCATTGGTCCTCATGCACGGATATCACATAATACTGTTGAATCAGCTTGCGCTCGGTTGAAGTGCCGGACGGCATACCTTCTATCATCTTGAAGAAGTGTAGTTCTGCTCTCTTGCATCCTCTAGCTATTATTTTCAACCGCTCGCGCTCATCCGGATCTTTTCCTAAAACATGGAAGATATCATTCGTTTTTCCCGTGTACAAAAAAGGCGATAAACGAGAGGTTTCAAACTACAGAGGAATCGCCGCACTATGTCTACGTCTAAACTATTTGAGCTGGTTGTCATCGACTTCCTCAAGCATCATTGTCTCAACTACGTTTCCGCGACACAACATGGGTTCATGCCGAAGAGATCTACCTGCACCAATCTGGTTCCATACACGTCCTTTATCATCAAGACTATAGAAACTCACAAGCAGGTCGATGCCATTTATACTGATTTTTCAGCTGCTTTCGATAAAATCAACCATGAAATCTTGATCGCAAAGCTTGAACGTCTTTGTTTCTCTGGTTCGTTGCTAGATTGACTAAACTCTTATCTGGTTGGTCGTTTAATGTCGGTCAAAATTGGTAATACTATATCAGAACCATTCCATGTCACATCTGGTGTTCCACAGGGCAGTCATATTGGACCATTCTTATTCTTGCTGTGCCTGAATGACGTCAACCTAGTGCTCAAATGTTTTAAGCTCTCGTATGCCGATGACTTCAAACTCTATTATGTAATAACCTGTGAAGAAGATGCACATTTCCTTCAGAAAGAACTTAACCTTTTTTTTCCAAATGGTGCGCAACTAATCGTATGAGCTTGAATGCCAACAAATGCTCAGTAATTTCCTTTGGACGTAAACGTTCTGTCATTTCATTTGATTACACCATTGCCGGAATATCTCTAAAGAGATAATCTACTGTAGAGGATTTGGATCCCTTTATAATAGTTATGATGATGTGAATACAGAATTATTGTCAATACCGAAGCATTGACGTCAATCTAGAATGTATTGACTAAACGATTGATTATTACGTTTCAGAAATTCAAAGGTCTTCAAAATGAAAAAAATAATAATCTTCCAATCTGGCATCCCTGTCGTTACATAGTTCCGCACTCACCTGAACAATGTCGCCATGGTTGCCACCGGCCGCAGTGAACGTCAGGATGCACACATACGGTATGCGGTCCTCCTTGGGCCGATGCAGCTCCAAATCATACGTCAGGCCAATGTTTCCATAGTACGTTCGATTGCATCCTGTGACGGGAGGAAAGAGGAAATGCAAAATGTTTTAGTTTTCCCCCAAAAGCAATCAATTTTCAAAAGGGGTTTTCACCAACCGAACGCAACAGTAATCCTGCTGTTTGATATTGTTTTAATAAATAATAAAATTTGTTGCACAGCTCTCGCAAAACAATGAAAACTGCCCAGTTTGGGTGCCAAGCCAGACGGGTGAAAAATGCTACAAAACGCGTCCCAGCGGTAAATGACCGGGAAAAATCACCATTTTTCCACTCCATGTGAAATCCGGCAGCCACTTAAAGATCGCAACGGAAGGGAAGCGGACGGTGCTACTTCCCGGAAGCAAGTCATAACCGGATTTGGGTTTCAGTTTTATTGAAACGGCCAAAAGGAACCAAAACGAAAAAAAAAATGTTGGAAAACATAAAACAATCGCACTGATGGATTAATAAAAAAAGAAAAAACTAGTGAAAGGAAACAACCGAAACATGGTCCGAAAAGTGGTATAATTTCTGCCAAACGGCAACAAACGGGTAATAAAATACGACACCCCGGCACGGTCGGTTGACGGTGTGTGCTGTTTGGTTGGTTTCGGCTTTTTGGTCATGTCCCGAGGCTGGGATGTCGGTCGGTTGGAGACGAAAATTTCCCTGGAAAACGTAGGTTTGCTGTTGCGCGTGGTGGTGATTAAGGGATTCGCAGAAGAGGCGTTAATTTCGATGGATTTTAAAGCCGAACCGTTTGTATGGCAACACTGGCAGGAGATTGAGGATTCGTACCAACGTCTAAGTTTGTATGCAAACACATGTTCAGTTGATTCAGCTGGTTTTTGTTGGCTCGCTCTGCAGTTCCTCATTTATGCTCTCCATCTCTTCGGACGAGCAGCAGTGAAATGCAAATTGTATTTAAACATCGTAACGAGCTGGAAAATGGAATTAAATGCTATTCGCTTGATGTTGCATTCTTTCCGGAGACTTCGCACTTCGCAAAAAAAAAGAAAAAAACGGCAAAGCGGAGTAATCATTTCTGCTCCTTGGCTACGTTTGTGCTTGAGAGAGCGTAAAACAAAGTATGGTTTTGATAAAAAAAATCACGTCAAGAAGTTTCAGTTTTGATGTTTGATGAAGTAATTTTAAATTCTATGTTAATTTTTGAATTTTTTTAGTTTTCATAATGCCTATTTTTTATGATGACCAAATTGATTTGACAGGGTACATTTTAAATCATCCAATTTTCTTCTGAGAACTGGTAAATGGACCTGTGAAATTAGATAGAAAAACTGAAAGTTGTCAATTATAGATCTGACATTCAAAAATTGGACAGTTTAAAAGTGCATTTCTATGCCAAATAGTCCTCTCCAGGCGGGTTCGTATTGGTGCGATTTGCGTGGGTTAGTGCACTTGTTAATTGTAATTGTTAATCATTAATGGGTAACAGATACTCATTAATGGGTAAAATTGTTTAATCATTAATGAGTTAAGCCACTTTTCTTCAAAATGGGTCTTTTTTTACTCATTAATGAGTACTTTCAAGTTAGCGTGTGAGATGATTTTTTTGTTAGCTGTAAGAACTGTCATTCTAATGTAAAAATAAACAACAAAACGAAAACGCTTGCACGGTAACAGTCAAATACCCTTTTATGAGTAAAAGTTAACCCATTTTTAATAAAAGTAGTTTTACTCATTAATGAGTAAATGATTTGAACAACAATGAGTTTCTGCTAACAGTAGCTAACAGTTACTACTTAATTGGTATAATAAGACTTACTCATTAATTAGTAGTGCCACTTTTATTGACAATGGGTTCACTTTTACTCATAAATGGTGTTTGATTCTCACCGTGCACATGACAGTATACGCTAGTGTGTGTAAAATGATATTATTAGTTTAGTGTTCGTGAAATCCTGCTTGGAGAACTCAATGGCAAAGAAAATTGTATTTCAGATTCGACCTTCTCCGATTTGCATGAAACTTTGCATCATTGAGCTAAAATTCAGCCATTTTGAATCTTGCAAAATATTTCGATATTTTTCATCAAATTAAAACTAGGAAACGACACGACGAATTCAAAAATCCATTAATTGTCGTATTTTATTTATTTGGCTGAATTTTTTTAGAAACGTTCCTCATGACCAAAAATGCCATTTTGCATCTTCAAATCACCATTTTAAATCGAGCCTTAATTTTGAAAAGGGCCTATAGAAAAATGCTAAGCCTATATTCAGAGAACTTTTACTCGAAAAATGTTTGCCCAAAAGGGTTGGGTACCTTCAGTAATGTTGTAGGGAACATCTGCAACTATTAAAAAAAGCAGTCAACTTGAACTAATTGCTGTTTGGCATTTATCTTTTCCCGAATTCCGATGCCGAGGGTTATACTTGGTTCACGCTGCAGCTATCCAAAATGTGTCTGACTGCTCATCGGATAATGACGTCATTCTTCTTTTCTGTGACTACAACCTCCCTCAACTGCCGTGGTGTTTCGACGTAGAAGTAAATGGATAAAGACTGGAACGCGCAAAAATTGGTTGACGAAATAATCGTTTCTTTCAGTCAAAATTCATGTCACAAAAATTTTGCACAGTGGTCTCATTTATTTATTTATTTAATTAAATCTTCAACATAATGTTGTACAGATATTTTCTAGGCTAGGTGTCGAATTCTATGTCTGTAAGTAGACTTACTAATGTTCATATACAAATCATATACATCAAACGTTTCATTAAACACACGACAGTACAAAGTCCACGGTTCGTTGAATCCATAGTTGGTCCGATGGGTAGGTTGCCACAAAAGCGTGTAACTACGTAGAACTCTTTGAGGAGCATTGATGTAGATTTGGCTCACAAGAGAGTTGCAATCCACGTCACCGTTAAGCAATCCAAACACGAAGAGTCGCTGAAGTAGTTTCCTCCTTGCTGCCAACGTGTCCAGGTCAATCAGCCTGCACCGTTCTTCGTAAGGCGGCAAATTTACCGAATCGTTCCAGGGCAGAACACGTAAAGCGTATTTTACGAAGTTTCGCTGAATGGCTTCGATTCTGTTAGCTTGAATAGCGTGAAAGGGTGCCCACACAACAACAGCATACTCTAGAAGACTGTGGACGAGAGCACAGTATAGTGATTTCAGCGCGTAGATGTCCTGGAATGCGTTTGTGTTTCGTTTCAAGAAACCTAATGTGGCGAATGCTTTAGCAGTTATCATGGAGATGTGCTAATTGAATCTGACTTTAGATTCGATGATAACACCCAAATCCTTAGCTGAAGAAACGAAGAGCAAACTACTGAGTCCTATCCTATAGTCATGTCGTAAGGGCTCGCGTGAACAGTCAAGTCTTGACTTAATTGTACGAAAGATCTTTAAGTCATCGGCGAACATAAGTTTCGAAGAACACAGCCGACTACACAGATCGTTCACGAACAGGATGAAAATTAAAGGCCCCAAATGGCTATCTTGGGGAACACCAGAGGGTATCTCGAAACTAGGCGAATTGACACCGTTAATGCTCACATAGGCTGAGCGGTCAGTTAAGTAAGACTGTAGCCACTTCGTGACCCAATTAGGTAATCCCATACACCTCATTTTGTCCACTGCAAGCACATGTGGAACCCTATCGAACGCCTTACTGAAGTCCACGGAGATCGCATCTACTTGTCGTCGATTTTCAATGAAGTTGATCAGCGAGTTGACAAACACCATTAAGTTGGTTGTTGTAGAGCGTTTCCTCACGAAGCCATGCAGATGTTCGGTAATTATTGCCCTAACCGCTTGATATACGATCTCATATACGATCTTCTCCAGAGCTTTTGGGAGGCAGCTCTTAGAATCGAAATTCCGCGATAATTTTCAACGTTGTGGATGTTTCCAGCTTTGTGAATAGGTGTGATGGACGCAACCTTCCACATTGTGGGGAAAACACCACTAACTAGCGAACGATTGAAGATAATCGACACAGGTGAAGCGAGAGATGCAGAAAATTTCTTTATGAACGATGGTGGCAAACAGTCTGGACCAGGGCCTTTAGAAGGATCTACAGATGAAAGAACTTTCATCACCTCTTCAACAGATACATAAAACTGCGGCAAATGCAAATTGTAATGAGCTATGCTGCTCATCCAGTCACGACGATCATCCGGAGAATGAGCGGGAAGGGTAGTCGAAAAAACATCCTTGAAGAATTTTGCGAAGAGATCAGAAGCTTCTTTCGCGGAGTCAGCACGAGCTTCTTTATAGGACACATCGAGTGGTATACAGCCATTCCGCCTAAGTTTCTTTACGTAGGTCCAAAAAGACGATGGATCCCGCTTTGCATCCGACTCAATGCGCAACACATATTCATGGAAAACTGTGTTCAACCGGCTGGTGTAGTGCTCCTCCATGTCGTGAAGTAATCGCCTGTTTTCCTCAGTCCGTTGTTTGAAAAGACGTTTCCTTGCTTTCCGTAACCTGTTTCGGAGGTTCCTAAGTTCCGTGGTCCACCATGGTTGATTGTAGTGAACACGGAGGCAATGTCGTCGAATAGGAGTATATTCGTGGATGATATCGAAAATGGCACCATAAAACCGGAAAACAGCATCGTCAACGTTACAATAAGTCAAAAGCGTCGTCCAGTCTATCGAGCCTATCCGGGCGTTGATAAGGGGTTCATTGCAGAAGTTGAAATCGTAATAACAGCGGTCCAGCCCAACGTCGTCAGTATTACGAAGGTAGTCAAATTTGATGATAAAAAAGATTTGTGATGAGCGTCGAGTTTCGAGAATTCCACAGGGCGATTCGAAAAGTTCGATTCTGTCAGTATCACTAACGAAAGCCAGGTCAAGTAATCTCTCGTTTACGTTACGTACATCCTGAACCTGCTGTAATCCACATGCAAGGATCGACTGGGTCAAAGCGATTTCTTGTTCAGATGAAGCGTTGGTCGGGATGTAAGAATTCATGTCGGCATCAAATTGCCATGATAGTCTAGGCAGATTATAGTCTCCCAAAACTATGACTGTATCGGTAGTTTCAGCAAGCT